CGGGCCAGGCCCGGGCCACAATACAGCCTTAACACACACACACACACACACACACATATATATATATCTTTTCTTAGTAGGAAAAATACAAAAAATATATCAATGAAAAATGTATTATTCTTACATTGACATATTCCCATATTCGTTGCTTAATATCCTTTAACACAGCATGCCAACTAGTATGCACCAAGGGGATAAATCTTGGATTCCTTGCAGTTGTTCCTAAAAAGTTGGTCAAATCAGACACTCTCTTGTCAGTTGGTCCAACTGCTTGTCCTTTATCAAATGTCACCTCCTCTCTTTCTTCAAAACTTCTTGCATGAATATTCTTGCATATTGTTTTTCCTCGAACTCTTTTCTTCTGATGTCCCTAGATTGATAGAACAAGAAAGACATAAGAAGAAAAAATCAAAATATGTAAAATACTTATAAGGTTAAAGACATACAACCTGCAGCACCATCGATGTTCATATCTTCATCTCCAATAAATTCATCGTCACCAACTTCATCTTGTGCATCAAAATTATCCAATTCTATTTCACGCTCATCAATAATAGGAGAGGACATAAATCTGACTTCATTTTCTGGGTGATTATCATGATGTTTTTCTCCACCGACTTGTATCCCATATTTTTTTAGAAACTGATTAACACTCGTTGACGGTAAGACTGAGTTTGTCTTTACCTTTTTGCAATTTTGTAGCTCTTGAATATCAAGTTGTTTCTCTCCTTCACCTTGTGTTCTTCTAATCATATGTAAAGTATTAGGATCTACCTTTGCAGATGATTGGATCATGGATGTGGGCACAGGTAATTTACTCATTCCTTGCTTTTGAATGGGCTCCTCCAATTGTATTGACCTTTATTTAATTTGTCCTTTACTTCAATATTATGTGAAGTGTTCAGATCTTCCCTTGAAGACGATTGGATTGATTTGTACACCGGTAATCTATTCCTTCCTAACTTTTGAACTGACACATCCGATTGAGTTAACCTCTGTCTACTTTGTCCTTCTAATGTTGCAGGCATATAATTTTTCCTTTTAACTCCAAGTATTGTCTGCTCTTTAGCAGCTTTATCGTTGCAATCACTTGCAAGCTTTTCTCTCTTAATCTGAAATTTTTTGGCTAGTTCGGCACTTGATCAGTATTGGAAATCGAAACCTATATTCTTCATTGGACTTTGAGCTTTGTTTGGATTTGGAACTTTTCTCTTAAGAGCTGCCGCTTGATTCATCCTACATACAAAAAAAATTAAATTACTTTAGCCTAACAACTAGTAAGAATATATAACAGTATGTGAGAAAGTAAATATTTAAGAAATAAGACACCTTCAGCTTACATCCAACACCTATTCCCAGAACACACAAGAACCTGGGAGCAGACTATTGGATGTAGAGCTCCACTAAGACCAGTTTCACCACAACAAAAGATAAACCATGCACGCAAACAATCTACTAACCCAGCCTTAATTCAACCACAACCAACACCACAACATCCTCACACAATAATAGACATATCACCTCAACATCATCACCGCAGCTTAACCCCACTATTTCACCACAACAGAAGCTACAAAAGTCACCAAGAATCCCAACCTTTTACCCCTACCACATGCTCACACACCACACTCCCATGCTGTAAAAACCACAAGAACCTGAAAGCAAGTGCTCAATCACACACTTTCAGCAACATTTGCATTACTACTAACTGTTGTTTCTTTTTTTACAAGTGCATCTCAGCACTACTAACTGATGTCCTTATGATTTTTAACATAGACCAGATTAAGAAAGACATATTATCAAGATTCATTGAGCTAGGAAAAGACCCTGAGAACAATATGACTAATAAACGCCTAGGGACATTGTCCTGAATTTTAACATAGAGGGTTGTGATACAATTGCAACAACTCTATCTTGGGCTATATACATGGTAATGGCTCATGTGCATGTAGTAGAGAAGCTGTACACAGAACTGATCGTTGGAAGATGCCCGATCAAAAGAAGATAATGTGTTATTGCATCAGTATGACGCAAAGGATCCTAAATCAGTTAATCGGAGAGCAATCCAATTCGCAGGGCTTCTTAATTATGATTCTTTGGGAAAATTGTACTACTTGTATGCTGTCATTACAGAAACTCTTCAATTGTACCCTGCAGTTCCTCACGTTAGCATACGTAATTTTTGTTGCATAAAGCAGAGGATATATAAAGATATATAGATAAACAATTCCAGAGCATATATAAATAAATAAAGTTACAAAGATACATGTTCAATATCTATTGGTTCCTTAAAATTTATTAGTCCAATATCTTCTTTAGTTGCATGTGCACCACCTGATAATAATAAAAAATAAATATGTTTATACTTTAAAACTTTCTCCAATACTCCAGGTAATAGTACAATACAAATTCCGAAACATAATTTCTACTTACTCACGTTCACTTCTCTATTCAAAACTAGAGGACAAATTCTCGATCCACATATAATACAATTTGGTTCTTAAATAACCAATCAAGTAATTTCTAGTGATACCAAAAGGGACACATTGAAAATACATGAGCAGAAAATATATGTGCACATCAAAAAAATCGATCAGTAAGAAAATATTTAATATTGAACTTGACAAAATAGACAACATCAATTTAAATATAAAGCAACCGTCTTTAATGTGTTTCTAGCTATTAATAAATAAATGGCTAAGCTATTTTCTATTTGAATTAGAATAAAACTCATGATGTGTCTTCAAAATCAAACTCTTCATCTGATTCAATTTCAAGTTGTTGTGCTAGAAATCCTTCTGGAGGTACATCAAGAATGGTTGCTGGAATATCACTCCTTACTAAGACAACTTCACCATTATCCTCCGGTATAGATGGGCCAACCAAATATTCAGATGGCTTATTTTCATAATAGTTTTGGGCATTAGATTCAAGTTCATCACTTATGCTAAACAAGTCTGTCGGCACAGTCTTCATGACATAATATCTATCTTGATCATATGGATCATGAACATAGAAGCATTGGTGTACTTGAGATGCTAGGACAAAAGGCTCATTCTGATAACATTTCTTGTTGAAGTAGACATAAGTAAGGCCATAAATATCTTCTTCAACCTCATACCAGTCGCACTTAAATAAGACAACCTTAAAATGACCATAATAGTCTAACTCAACTATATCAACTATTCTACCATAATATGTCATGTTTGCGTCAACCGGATTTTTATCTTTTGAGCTTGCAAAACTTGTAGTTAGGGCGACTAATGTAACACCACTATTTTGTGTTTTACGTCTTGTATCACGCTGACTCGTATGGAATCTATATCCATTAATGATATACCCAAAATATCTTTTAGCAATTGAATTTGGTCCAATGGACAATTGCTTAATAAGATCGGCACATCCTCTTTCAAAGAACGAATTTCAAACCATTGAGAGAAGTTTTGACTGTGATTCTTGGCCTTGCTCCATTTAGATCCTCGTCTCTGATTACTAACCTCAACCTCATATTCTCTACACAACAAGTAATTTTATTTGTTAGTAAAATGATAAATAAAGTAATGTAATAACAACCTACATAAATAAATGCTATAGGTGATTAAATTACCTTATATATTCTTGAACTTCATCACAATTGTTCAATTAGTATATATGTGCCTGATTTAGTGACATGTCATCTAAAACAATTGGATCACTCTTTTTTGCTCCTAAAGGACAACCTGTATTAGGGAACAAACTAGAAGCTTGTGCATTAATTGAATCATATTCATCATTGTTTCGGGGTCTTCGATTAAATCGAGTCTTTACACCTCCATGTAAGTACCTAGAGCATAAAGTCAAACACTCTTCAACCAAATATGCCTCAGCAATAGATCCTTCTGGATAATTTTTGTTGCGAACATATGATTTTAATGTACACATATATCTTTCAGGAGGATACATCCATCGATTTTGAACTGGACCTCCCAGCCTTACCTCATTCGCCAAATAAATAGGCAAATGAATCATTATATCAAAAAAAGTTGGAGGAAACATTCTTTCCAATTGATTCGTAGTTTCTCTAATCTCTACTTCCAAGCAATCTAACTCTTCCATTGTGATAACTTTTTGACATAAACAACGAAAGAAATAACTTAGACGAATCAAAGGGATATCAACATGATCAGGAAGTATGCTTTTAACTGGTATTGGCAGCAAGTAATGTAACATGAAGTGGGCATCATGGGTTTTATAACCGGATAATTTTCTTTCATCTAGCTGCACACACCTGGATATATTGTAAGCACTACCATCAGGTAGCTTTGCTGTCATTAAAACACCACATAAAACTGATTTTTCACTATTGGTCATTGAGAAGCATGCTTTTTGCAAACTTTGTTCTCTTGACATCCTTTGTATCCTTTGGTTGAAGGTTCTTCCTAATGCCCATCTTTTTTAGATCATAACGAGCATTTGCATGATCCTTTGTCTTGCCAAGAATGTCCAAAAGAGTTCCAATTACATTATCCACTATATTTTTCTCTATATGCATTACGTCAAGGTTATGACGTAACGAGTTGTGCTGCCAATAAGGTAATTCAAAAAAATTGACCTTTTTTTCCAAGGGCCATCATTTTTTCTCATTCGCTTCTTCCCAAACACATTGTTAAAATTCTTTAAGCTATTAAGCACATTAGTTCCCTTCAACAAAGACAGAGGAGGCCTAAATTCTGTTTTTCCATTGAAAGACCTTTTATTAGATCTCCACGGATGATCCATAGGCAGAAAAACTCGATGATCCATATAATACATTTTTTGACTATGTTTAAGATAACGAGAATTAGTGCCATAATTACACAAAGGCAAGCCAACTTTCCCTTTGTACTCCAACCAGATAACATAGCATATGCAGGAAAGTCACTGATTGTCCATAAAAGAGCTGCTCGCATTTGAAAGGTTTGATCTCTTGAAGCATCATATGTTTCTATCCGGGACTCCCACAACACATTTAACTCTTCTATTAATGGTTGTAAATAAACGTCAATGTCATTTCCAGGTGATCATGGCCCACGTATAAGCAAAGAAAGCATACAGTATTCTGGCTTCATGCACATCCAAGGAGGCAAATTATACACCATTAAAATAACTGGCCATGTGCTATGAGATATGCTCATGGTCCGAAATGGATTGAACCCGTCACTTGCTAAGCCAAGTCTCAAATTGCGAGAATCCCTTGTAAATTCTGAATGCAAGCTATCAAAGTCTTTCCATGCTTGCCCATCAGCAGGATGCCTTAACTTTCCATCTTTAGAACGCTCCTCGTCATGCCACCTCAATGTATCTGCTGTCTTTGAGCACATAAATAGCCTTTTGAGTCTAGGAATTAATGGAAAGTATCTCAAAATTTTTGCTGGAACACGATAACCTTTTTTGGAAGTCTCAAGCTCGCTATCTACCTCATCTGTATCTAGTTCAGTATATTTAATATATCGAGAAGCTCCACAGACATGACAATATTCATCATCCTTATGGTTATTCCTAAATAGCATGCAATCATTGGGACATGCATCAATTTTTTCATAATCAAGGCCGAGATCCTTTACCATAGATTTGGCTTTATTGTAGGATATAGGAATATTCAACTCAGGCATCGCCTCTTTTAATAGCTCTAAAAGAAAAGTGAAAGACGCATTGCTCCATCCATGTAGACACTTCAACAAATATAGACAGATTGTGAAAGATAATATAGAGAATCCTTTACAACCAGGATATAGTTCTTGGCTTGCCTCGTCAACTAAGTTATAAAATTTATTGGCATCTTCATTTGGACCTTCATACACTCCTTCGGAATGTGCAACATCTCTAAATTGATCATTCAATAATTCATCAATATCATCGTACGAGGAAACATTATCATCCATGTCACAATTAACATTCATCGAAATTTCCCATTCCCCATGATTAATCCATCTTGTATAACCTTGAACAAATCCATAGCATATTAGATGATCATACACTACATTCCTTTGAGTCCATGGGATATTACAACATATTGTACATGGGCATTGAATTTCTTTGCCTTGAGGATCTCCATAAGAGTAAGCAAAATTTAATAAAGATTGAACACCCTCGACATACTCTTTGCTATACCTTGGTAAATCTATCCATTTCTTGGATATTTGAATTCCTAAAAATTAAATTTATTAGATATTCAAATATATAATCATTTAAGCATTGACTATATTGTAAAACTAAATCCTAAATGTCAAGAATAAATCTATAAATCATGTGTTGTAAAACAATAAGAATTTCTTACCTCGTCATGACACTTAAGCTAAGCCAAATCCAACTTCAAGTCCACCACAAATCTTCCCGAGCGTGCCTTATCTTCAAGAATAAAAAAGTAAAATTAGTAGGATCCACCATAATAAGATTCTTATTTGTCAATTCTCTTTATTTTGCTAACTTGCATTCTTATATGATGCTTACCCATGTTAAGGTAATTACTAACTTGAAAGCTCTAGGTTATGTGCACACTAGAATTATTTTGAACAGAATGTACAATCATTAAAAATAATGGACGAAAGAGATTTAAGATTCTAGCAATTATCTGTGTGTATTAAATAGCGATAAGATGGTGAAGGTCCATCCCTTTGTGAATAGGGCTGAGTGCAAATGACATACAAGATTGGAACAGAACGGTAACTCAGTTTATGAAAAAGAGAACCAAACAAAATAGCTGCATTTGAATGAGAAGTGTTTTGAGGCACTGTTCACAGAGAGAAGAAGCGAGAAGAAAAGAATCTCAGAAACTCCAGTTGCAAGGAACAAAGGGATTAACTGATATAGCACACACAGCTTGATCAGACTCACAAACAAAGAAAGTATTGATTGATAATTTTATTGTTTCTGGCTCTTAAGAACTATTACTCAAATACATTCCTTTTAACATAAAGGAATGGCAATTCCTGTACAAACACAAAATCATGTTCTTATATTTATCAATATAAAAGAGAAGCAGCCAAGCATTTACACCAATGACCATAAACATTTTCCTATGAAATAATTTTGATCAATGAATATATTTTTCACCAATATGGACAAAGGACTTCGTGACTCACGGAGCAAAGTCATCTTCCTATACATTTTTGTTTACTTTTAATGAAGTATTGAATATTATCAAAGCTATCCTGATGTTCTATCTTTCCCCTGGTATGATTTACTATAACTCACTTGCCCATGCAAATATCAAGATCTTCCATCTATGGGGCATATGCAATAATTGACCAATTAAATACGTTGTACAGTTAGAGTAGCTCTACAACTCAGTTGCCATAGATCTATACTATGGAATTCCAGATTTGTTTATTGAGCATTGGGCTGTTTTTCTCATCTTGGAATATTCTTTTCAAATTGTATCATGAAGATCTGTGACTATAATGATTATTGATTTATTGGCATTGATATATATGCAAGAATGAAAAGGGTAAAAAAGTAAAAATGAGATACTCCATATTACCATAATTTACTGAGAGTAATACCAAATCATGATCTTAATATATCAAAATGTGACGACCCGGCCCGTCGTAACGTGAGTTACCGCCCCGTTTCCCCCATTTTATGCTTCTTCATGTTTCGTTATCGGTATTCGTTGTGTTAGAGTTAAATCGGATTGGTTTTAATAAGAAATAAGACACTTAGTCTCTTTTAAGAAGTCTTAAGTTGGAAAAGTCAACCGGATGTTGACTTATGAGTTAGAGGGTTCGGATGTGAGTTCCGATGGTTCGGTTAGCTTCGGGAGGTGATTTGTAACTTAGGAGAGTGATCAGAAGTGGTTTTAGAGGTACGGTATAGAATAAGGCTTGAATTGGCGAAGTTAGTATTTTGGCGAATTCCGGTTGATAGGTGAGATTTTGATCTGAGGGTCGGAATGGAATTCCGAGAGTTTTTGTAGCTTCGTTATGTCATTTTGGACTTGTCTGCAAAATTTGAGGTCATTCGGACGTGGTTTGGTTGAGTTTTTTTATCAAAAATGGAATTTGGAAGTTCTTGAGATTCATAGGCTTGAATTCGATGTGACTTGATGATTTTTGGTGTTAGTCGAGGTGTTTTGATGATTGNTTTTTGATCAAAAATGGAATTTGGAAGTTCTTGAGATTCATAGGCTTGAATTCGATGTGACTTGATGATTTTTGGTGTTAGTCGAGGTGTTTTGATGATTGGAACGAGGTTGAATAATGTTTAGGATGCATTGGTGCTTTTGGTTGAGGTCCCGGGGGCCTCGGGCGTGTTTCGGGTGAGTTTTGAGCGAGTACGGATACCAAGGAACTTAGAAAATGGAGGGGGCAGCAGTTGTGGCGCGGACCGTGCTCCTTTTCACGCTGGGCGCGCTGACCGCGTCAAAGTGGCCGCGACCGTGGTCACTAAAGGCTGCAGGTTACTGGTCCTACTTCGGAAGCTCATATCTTTTAATCCACAAGGAATTTTGAGGTGATTCAAAAATGAAAGTTGTAGCCCTTAGTCTCTAGTTTCCAGAAAGGTAAAGATATTGCAATTTGGACATATTTAGCGAAAGTTATGGCTAAAATACTAAATCCTATCCCTGCAGAGCAAGGCCTGCGCGGCCGAGGACGTTTCTGCGCGGACCCCGCTGATTTTGCACGGACCGCGGTCATTTTTGTGCGGTTAGAGGTGTCGCAATCCAAGGGGTACTCTATAAATACGAGGTTTTGGATTTTATTTGATATTTTGACCTAGAGAGCTCGGATTTTGGCGATTTTTCTAAGGTTTTTCAAGAAATTGGTCGGGGTAAGTGATTCTAACTCAGATTTGGTTAGAGTACATGAATCTATCACTGAATTCATCATTTAATTCGTGATTTAAGAAGGAATTTGGGAAGAAAATTGTGGAACCTTTCAAAAATGTAAAATGATGATTTGAAGGACCAAATGGTATCAGAATTGGATAATTTTGGTATGGTTAGACTCGTGAGGGTACGAGGATTCTAAAAATGTAAATTTTACCTGATTCCGAGACGTGGGCCCGGGGCTCAGGTTTTGCTAATTTCGAGATTTTTGATATTTTTC